TCATCAGCCTGATTTCTCGGCCTTCGTAGGATTCACCGATTGATTGCAAGGTAACAATGTCTGGGAAGGCATCCCTCATTTCTTCGGTCCATGCCAAAATCTGCCATAGAAAGCAAAGGATGTAAAGTATTAAATTCATAAATTACCTTAATTTTCAACAAATCTGACTCACATCTTCAAATTGATAATAGGCATCCCAGGTGAGTTTTGATCCAAGTTCAGCCACGGGCTGGGAATCGATCACACTGAAATAAAGGTTTTCTTTGAGCTTATCTCATGAAATTTGATGAAAAATGTCTGCTTAATAACAGTAGGGGAAGAAAAGGGACATATTTTCCACGTAAAGCACGTAAAAATGATAAAATAAAATGCAATTGTGATGCGTTCTCTTGACTGGATTTTTCTCTCTGAATGTTTGCAATGGAAACTTTCAACCAGTACCTTATGTTTTTAAATACAGTAAAGTCTCATTGCAACAAACATCCACCGCGACAGGGGGAGAATTGAACACCAACATATTTTTACAAAGATAAATTGCGTGAAGCACATATAGGACTGGAATTCTGTGGAAAATGAGTGTAGAATGTTGCAAAGATCGTCTCTGCAACAGATAATTGAAGACTTCTCTTTGATGACATGAAGAGGGAACATTTCGAAATACAGTCAACCCCTGTCTAACATACTTAATTCATGCAACAGACAAGTCTCTTGCACAAAATGTCCTTTAGACGAATTGAATTATCTAAAAATTAAAAATTTTAAATTGTCAACACTAATTATAAACCAACAAAAGTCTGTTTGGTGGATTTTGTCTGTTGGGCGGGAGGAAAAACTGCTTGCAGAGCTGGTCTGTTAGGCAAAAATCCGTTACATGAGAGGTCTGTTAGGCAGGGGGCCACTGTACTGTACACTCATCTTATACATAATTATGTACAGTACAAAGGTAATGTTTTTTGCTTATATATTTGTACTACAAAGCATTTACATTTCCTTTAGAAAAATTTAAATGTAGGATAAAGGAGGTGCCCCACAATTTGGCTCCAATAACCCATTGCCAGGCAATATTAAGGGTCAAATTGCAAAGCATTCAAATTGCAAGACAATGTTGAATTCAATGTTCTCTACATCAAATTTGTCATTTTGAGTCTGTCTGCAGGTTTAATTGTGGAGCAAGAGGTCAAATTGCAAGTTGGTGTCCCAGCAAATTCAACTCTTGAATTGCAGGATGGTCAAATTGAGGGAAGGAAAATTATAAGGTAACATGTGTATGACCAAAAAGTTAGTCATTGCAGCCATTCATCCTAAAATATGTGTAAAGGCAGGCACATGTGTTTGGGTAAATTGAGCAACATTCTGCAGAAAATGTATGACATTTATTTACACATGATGACATTGGTATGTCTATGTTTTATTTTCTAGCCATATGATGGCAAAAAAGACAATAAATCACCTTTGAACATCTTTGATAAGCACACTGTGTTCCATGCCAAGTCGAGCAGCCATTTTGGCAAATGCTTCAGTGGCATCTGGCTTCACCAAAATGTCGACGTCATTTCCAAGTTTTGATGGTTCACTCCAGAAATCCAACTAAGAAGAGATTGCGTGCCAAAAAAAAAAAGTGAAGAAGCCAAATCCAATATTAAACTAAGCAAAATATGAATTTTATTTTTTTATGCTGTCCAGTGTTTTTTTTTAGGAGATGAAAGAAACCGTGTTTTTGAATTGAACTTGCTGATTTTCAGCAGCATTGGAAAAATCAGAAAGTCGAATTGCCTCTTATTATAAAATGTTTACATACTAAAATCGCATTCCAAGGAAATCTCAAGGACCTGAGAAAATTCATTACATAATGAAGCACTTTTTATGATGAGATTGATAGTTATTTGAGCATATGAAGGAGTTGAATTTGTTATTTCCAAGTATACTTTCACTACATACGAATGAGAAAATTTTCAAACATTTTGAACTTATTTTGATAAAACAATGTAGAAAATTCAAAATTTAAAAGACAATGCTCATATTTTATAACTTACATTCAAATTTTCTTCAAAATTTACTGATCTCACTGAAGTACAAGCTGAAAAAAAAAATAAACAAGAATGTGCAAGAATATAATTTATTCATGATAATCTGTATATAAATCAGGTGGACTCTCTCATCTACAGCAATCTTGTCTCTGCAACAAATTTATCTCTGCAATCATTTTTTTTAGCCCCATAGGACAGTGTTTCCCAACCTTTTTGGGCCCGCAGGCCAGCAAATTAAAAATAATAAACAAAAATTTTCAGACCAGCAAATTCCCAAAAAAATTTTCTGTAGACCTGCGAAGTTTCATAAAATGTTTGCAGAATCATTGAAGTTTTGCTTGACTCTTGTTAGACAGTAATTTACAAGAAAAATACAGGCAAGAATGTCACCAAACAATTGGAAAGGTGGGCTTGGAGACAGATTCTCCTGAATGAATGAAAAACTAAAATAATTTATTTCAGCAGTTGAACATTTTAAGTGCTATTAGGAGAAATGAGCCAACTTTTGTTTTAGGGTACTCTCCCTATGTTACAGAGGTTCTCTATACAACACATTTGTCTTTTGATCTCTTGGATTTTGTTATAGAGAGAGAGAGAGAGAGAAAGAGAGAGAGCCCACTTGTATATGATCATTGATTCCTCAGGCAGCAATAATATAGAAAAAACTCCGAATAATAAATGAAAACGACCCTGAATTTGCGCATTTCCGGTGCGTGTCGCAAAAGTATATGAAAATCGGAATATGTAATGAATGACAGAGATGAGATGCCCTCATCATCATCACCATCACGATCCTCTCCACTGAATGCGAATGAATGCCTTACCCCCAGTTGCGGACTGTCCTTGAACAACTGGTCCATGATTGACATGTGAAGGCGAGACTCGGGCTTGAACCTCAGAACCTGGTACCCGTCGTAACGTCTTTGATCTCCTGCCGCAACCATCATCATCATCATCATCGCCACAATCAAAGCAGCTGCGAACCTTGAAAGAAAAGTGAAATCGAGACGACGACACGGAATTGCTATTCCTTCTTCCTTCCTTTCCGGTGTCGGTGCATAAAAAAAAACGAAACTGAAGCAATATAAGGTTCGAGATTTCTCTTCCTCATCCAGCTGTTGATAAATGTCCTCGGCCGTCATCATCATATACATGACAACGAACAATTACCAAACTTCCTGGAAGCTCATCCTCGAGAATTTTTCAAGCAGCATGGAGAAACGGAAGCAGAGCAATTTTTGGCACCAGTTTTGCTAGATAAATTAATTCTCAATACAAATATCTTAGATAGTTAGACTGTTGGAGCATCAACAGAAAATCGTCTTTCTTCCTATGATATGGTAGCAAAATCACAGATTTGAAATTTCAAAGAATAAAATTCTCTGATCTGGATATTTTTGGTTTGAAGGCTTCTCCAGCAATGAGTGAATTCTATTTAAAAGTTTGATCGATCATTATTGCAATAAAAAACTAAACAATGTTGAATCCACAATAAACTCATTATCAAATTATTTCGTTTCCAAATCTAAATGCTTGAAAATTTCTGTGGTATATGTGCATGGTACCTTGCAATTAGACCCTTATCTGTTGCTGCACTAAGGTCAAATTGCAAAGTGGTCAAATTGTGAGACAATGTCAAACGGCATGTTTTCCACACGGCATTTGACATTTCATGTCTCTCTACAGGTTGAATTGCACATCAGAGGTCAAATTAACCCTTGGGCGGCAAAGTCAGACTTTTTTTTGCAAAATTTTGTTGCAACTCAGAGAGGTGAAGAAAAAAATGTCAACAGGGGGTTAAGGGCAAAGTTGGGAAAAATCCCACTGTTTTTTTTCCCCTGGGCACAGAAAATGTTTGCAGGAAATTTTTAAAAATGCTCATTTAGTCTACCGGCTTTTTTTGGATTCATCCTGACTTTGCCTCAGCCCACCTGGAAGGGTTTTCCTGACCTTTGAAATTATGAAAATGCTGGAGGATACAAAAATAATCCAACTCTGTCCTGCTATGGGAAAGAACCCTCTGCCATCCAAGGGTTAAGAGGTGACCTCTCAACCAATTTGACTGTTGAATGGTGGGTCAGTCAAATTATGAGAGGTCAAATTGTGAGGTTCCACCAGTATATCACTACATACAATTTGCGCAAATATGTGTTGATTTCTTTTCTGCATTATTTTTCATCATTGTTTGAAATTTTTCTCACAAACTGGAAATCAGGATTTCTGACGCATCAAGCTACAATGAATTCTAAATATTATTGAATGCACAGTTTTTTCTTCTGAAACTCTCTCCATATAAAGGAGACTTTGAAATAAAGGGTTTCAATTTGAAAATTTCTTTAAAATAAACACTGTATCGATATTTTGAGATGATGCAAGTTCTTCAACCATTAATAAATTACACGCGTTAAAAAATCCTTCACTGGAATGTTTCAAATCAGCACTGAATTTGGAATCACGAAAATAAAAAGAAACTCTGAAAATTGACGCTCTGTTTTCCAACAAATGGACTGATGAGCAAAACAAAACACTTCATTTTAAGAAATTCCTCTGACATGGTGACCAAATATTGGCACAGGGAGAAGAGACCATCAAATCTCACCTCATGATTTCTGCAGCAGCTGTCCGAAACTGAACAAATAAAACCTGAAACGACCGTGAAAGCAATTTACACCTTGAAAAGTTTGTCCAAATTCACAATTTGCATCAACTTGCACACCTCGTGCGGAAATCACAAGATTGTGTTGATCACAGCTGTATTTAATTCCGCAAAAGCTCTCTGTTGGACGAAGAAAAAGATACGTACAACAGGTGACACGCATCATCAGCATGACATCGAAGAAAAATGTTGTAGAAACAATTTAGCATGAGTTTGCACACTGTTTAATCTATATTTGCTTTAAATTTAGCCGTGGGAACGATTCAAAGAATCACACTTGTCTCTTTGTAATTTTTTTTTCGTGTGTCAAGATGTTTGAGACAATTTTATTAGCGCGCTCATCAATCAATTTTCCCGTGAAACCTCATTCATGCATTCCCAACCTTGAAAATGCGTGCATCTGCCAATTTGATGTTCTTGGCGCCGATTTCGTCAGTCAGACGCAGATTTTGAGCCGAATTGTGCATCAATTTCCATTAATTCAGTCCGAGTATGCAAGAATCTTCGTTGCGCAATTGATGATTTAATACGATGCGTCGAATGAAAGAATAAGTCATAAAAGTTGGCTTATTTTTTGGTAAGCCTTGATTGAAAGACTCAACATGTTATTTTTGCGTTTTTCATCTTTGACATATAGAGAGAAAGAGAGAGAGAGAGAGGATTCGAAAAGAAATCCTCGGAATGATATTTTATCTAGAAAGTTTTCAGATGCTCATCAGCGAAGATTCGTGGCATTTTAGAGCCGCGATCAATCAATCGATGCAATTTTTGATCGAGAAACATGAAGGTCACTTGCAGAACTTTTCACTGCTGTATCAAAATAATTTATCAACATTTTTTGGAAATTTTAACGTTTTCCAAATGCTGTCATCAATCAAGTTCAAGTCTAGCTTGAAGAACGGTAATTTTCTTTCGGCCAGCGTTGATGAACTATTTTACATGTGGACTCGCCAATTGTTTTCCTTGGATAATTATTTCAGATTTTTAAATCAAAAGGACCCCAAGAAAATATTTGTTTCCAAAAATATGCAATTATATACGGTACCCAAGCTTATTGGGTCAGAATCCACCTTCAACCCAGTTCTATATAGGATTGACCTGAGGCATTTTTTTCTTTTGAAATTATCTTTAAAAATTTGTTTCAAAATAATAAGTTTTTCAATTATCATCATTTTAACAACTGCATATATGACATCTAATGATGACCTGAGTCATCATGTGAGTATATGACTTGGTGAAGTTTTTTTTTTCTCACGATGATACGGAATATTCAACATTTGATTCTCCAAAAAATTTTTTTTTAGACGGAAAAATCAGAATAAAACTTGAGTCAGAATTAATTGCAGACGTCTTTTCATGAAAATATGCTACATTCGTACAAGATGAGACAGACCGAAGTGCAAACCACACAAGTGCATATTCCAGTAATAAATAAATAAACAAGTCGCTGACAACATGGGGTTGCAAAACAGTTTTATAATTCAGACTGCAACACAATTGGAATGCATTGGGATGCAAGCAAGTCAGTGCCCGGCCAGAATTTCGTCCCTGATCGCATTGAATATGGCCAGGAACCCATCCAGGGTTTCTTTCCCACTGGGAATGATCTGATTTGCAGGCAGCAAGAACCCATAGTGGCCCAGGTCCCTCAGTTCGATACCCATGGCATATTTCACACCTGCCTTCCCCTTGACCCAGTCAAAAGAACCGCCTGAGGCATAATCTGGTATCCAAAAATAAAGGACGATGCAAAAAAAAACAATACAAGATATTGACAGGAAGAATTGGGTTTTGAAAATACGCTGTGTTTTGCTTTCGCTGGCACACTTCATGTGAATTCAATTATTGAAATTAGTTGAAAAACCACTCACACGTGAGTTCGGGAACACTTCCAGTGACGTAATCTGTTTCATAGCGTTCACGAAGGGCATCTTCCATGATCAGACCTTTTTCCAGCTGTTGGCAAAATAAAAGTTATAATATCAGTTAATTCTCAAAATTTCCACAAGTCACCAAAATATGCAGAACTTGAGGTTCTACTTTCATTTTTTTTTATCGTGGACCTCAAAAAAATGAGAGAGAATCAGAAATAAATTTCGCAAAATTAACATGCTTCAATTTTTGTAAAAATGATTTTTTCCAGCTGGTATTAGTCTTCAAAGATAATCTGCATTACTTGCGTTTTCGTCTGTACTTTTTAAGCGTCTGTTTCAAATTGTCAGCAGAAGTTTCAATTTCTTTAGCTCCCTTAAATCAAGAAATCTCTAGTTTGAAATTATATTGACAAAGCCATAATATCTTGCACTTCTACGATGCAAGACTTCGTCGGCCTTAACTACGTTCTTCTTGATTTTTGAGCATTAGGAACTACAGTATATTTAGGAAGCCCCAAATGAAATAATAATGGAGCACTTTGCAGTTTAATGTTGAAACATCTGCTTAAGCAATTTAATTTTTTCCTTTTGGGATGTTCTGGACCAAATGAAGAATTTTTGTGTTTGTGGGATTTGCTGATAATTTACCTGAAATGAATCACCATGTCTCATGAAACCACAATTTAAATTTTCAGGTGATTCGTGGGACTTTAGAAAATGCTCTAATTTAATAGCTGACTCAGAAAAAAAACCTGGAGAAATACTGCATTCAATCCTTGGGTTGCACTGCTGGGATTTATTTGCACAATTTTTAGCCACATATACAATAAAAAAGAATGACCTAGCGTGATCAGAAGAGCGAAAGTTAAAAAAATCCCATTTTTTACATTCTCCTGCAAAAATAATTTCATAGAAAAAAATATTTACCGCTGGGTAGCATTTTTTGTTTTCCTTGTCAAAGGATTATCAGTAAGGGATTTTGAAAACAATGCATTTTGCTTTTCCAGATTTTTCTGGACTCTGAACATCTCAGCAAAATTGACCTTTGGTCAAGCCAAAATGCACAAGCATGCAAAAGTCTCCCAGCACTGCCGGGCAATGTAAATTGACCTACTACCACCATTCAATAAGGGTTAAAAAGAATCCCTGTTATTTTTTCTCACCAAGTCAGCATAATCATCAGGCTTCTCACTGGTGTCTCCATAGGGCAACAGAATCAACTGAGAATAAGAATGAACATCAAGGTAGATCTTGATGTCATCCTTGTTGGCCAAAATGTAATCCCTGACTGCTTGAGTCTCAGGCTCAGAAAACGCACTGGGTCCGTGGTAAAGCTCTGAACACTCGTCATGACTGGCCCCAGGTCCTATACATTAGAATATATTGAGACAGAAGTACTGCATCTTTCCAAAAAATTTAAAAACGTGAGAAGGAATTTCAAGTGAGAATTCTTTGGGAACGAATCAAGATGGGTGAATGAAAACGGGACTTGGTTAAGAAAATTCACGTCTATAACCGTGATGCCTGGAAAAATTGCACATCCACCAAGTATTTTGCAAGTTCTTTTTATACAAGAGATTCACTTTCTCCGAGCGATACTTGAATTTTGAAATGCTTTCAGTGACTTATCACGCATTGAGAGTCACTTGAGAGAAAAATGTAACAGTTTTAAGTCGCGACAATATGATTCAGAAATATGTCTGTTGCTCTTTTCACTAGAAATGAAATGAAATTCCGGATAAGTTGTTGTAATTACCTCCGAATGACTTGTCAAAGTTCCTGTTGGCATCCACTCCAAAGCATCTCCAGAAGGAATTGTGTTCTGAAAGCGTTTTGCGCCACAAACGGTCCTATTTATAAACAAATTATGATAAAAAAGAGTTAAATTTGAAGAGTCGTCAAAGGTCAGAAAATGTTTTTCACTAATTCAAAACCCAAGCTTCTGAATGCTAGGCCGCATATATTTTTCACATGGATCTTCTGACTCATAAATAAGACAGACGTCTGCTTGTCACTGCGTTCTCTTTTCCGCACCTATAGATGTCGCATCAATTTCCAAACATAGTAATTTGATGTTATGGATTCATAATGCTGTGAGAAATACAGTGGGGCCCAAAAATATACAGATGCCCCAACATATGAACAATTTGACGTAGAGATACTTCAAACTGGGAAAAGCTGCCCTACTCTGACTAAAATATGTTACCTCAGATATAGCCAGATGCTGAATATTTTTCAACAGTTTTAGAAAAATTGAAAATTTTGATTTCTCTACTTTTTGATACCTCTAGAAGAAATTTTTTTATGATTAAAAATAAAGAAAAAATTGTATACAGTTTTTAATAATTCATTATCATAATCAAAAGGCTAATTTTTTCTTTGTTTTGAGTTTTGTACATCATGCACAATTTAGCTGTAGACTTGTTCTTGTTCAAAGTATCTTGTGCTCCTGATGATGCCAAAAGATTAGATTGTGTTTCGTTTTCTTCCGCACAATTTATTTTTTTACACCTATGATAATTAAGTCAAGAAAGGAGAAGTTTTTCTATTTTTTTGGACTTTTCCTTAAATTTTGATGAAGTGGAGAACCAATTCAATACTGTATGGGAAAATATGATCTGACATGTGGACACTCCAACATAGAGACAAATTGAATCCAATCACATAAAAATCTTGGGTTTCACTGTACTGTATATCATTGTCTAATCCAAGTTATCCACTGTAAGTCACCAACTTCCATAATTCCCAAAATTCATTGAATATATTTTTCGATGAAAACTTGACTTTTCCAAGAAAATAAGAGGCATGATATCAAATTGAAAATGCATCAATTTAACTCACTCCATTATGGGTGTAAGCCAGACCATCAGGGTTCAGGACTGGGACATAGTGGAAGTCAAACTTGTCCAACTCAGCAGCATAGGCTTCATTTGTGAGCAGTTCATTGAAAATCCATGTGGTAGTTGCTGAAGTGATCCATTCCCTGGCGTGGATATCTTTCATGGAATCACGAAAAAAACATGATTCATCTTGTTGGAAAATAATTAACCCAGCAATTATACCGGCTCAAATACAGTACAAAAGAAGTAAACAGCATCACTGAGCATCAAGATGTGGTCAAGGTCAATTCCAGAAAAAATAGACCTATCTGCGAGTTTTATTGAAACTCATTTGAAAATTCTTATACAAAGCGAGAAATCGAAATGTTTTGGGAAGCAACTTGGAAAGATGAGGTTTGGCAAATATTGAAACAAAATTTCCCCACTTCAGGCAAGTTTTCACATTCAGTGCCTGATGATTATCAACAACTTGACGACCGGAAATTGAAGGGCAGTTCCTTTTTCCTGTTCTCAATAACAGGATTATGTTCTATTGAATCGCGAGAATGAGGATTGATTTAAATATCTTTCGATACTATAGTTTCATTTATGCATAGAAGCGCAATAAAAACGGGACCTTCAGTTTTCTGCGAAAGTTTTATTTATTTTTGTTTTCGAATCCGCATTTCTGTATCGTGAAAAAGCCAGTTTATCGCTTCGGTAATTAAATGATTTATATATCGAGGTTGCATTTATTCGGCCTTCTTTATTAGCTGTTGATAACCGCCGTAAAACTGTTTTAAATGATGCTAAATGAATCTGAAATCAAATAAAAACTCACTGGAGTTGAGGAAAACGGAGATCTTCTGTTGATCGGATGGTTTGTTGATTCGCATGAGCATCAGTTCCCTGCCTTTCGTCGACTTTCCGATGCTCTGAGTCGTTATTATCTCCGGGAACTGGGCTGTGATTTCATCGACCCATGCGTAAATCTGCGCGGAATTGATGAATTTTTTGAATGCGACGAAAGTGAAAATAGTTGGGCATTTTTTCAACAAGGTTTCAATGGATTATTTATATACCTCATGGGAGTCGTAATACGCATCCCATGTCAATTTCGTACCGGGTGCGCCGACCTTGATGGAATCCGCGAGCCTTCATTTCAATCGTCGAAAAAAGCAATTGGAGAAAGAGAAGAAGATTTGAATGAATGCACTGTTCACGGATGGGATTTCAGGAAGAAATGGGGATTCATTTTCATGACTCACTCCTGGACATCGGCAATCATCACTTGATGTTCGAGACCAAAGAAATCAGCGTGTTTCTGCAGCCAGGCTTTTTGTTCTGGTGAAACCATGATGTCGACAGGCGAGTTCAAGTGGCTGGGTTCAGCCCAAAAATCCAGCTGCATATATAGAGAATTCCAAAATTTCCATCACGTGGAAAATATTCCAAGCATATAGTCATATCCTCACATGAATAATATACTGAACTCACTCATAAAAACACTTGATGTTCACTCACTGCTGGGATTTGCATCATATACTGTATTTGAATAAAGTTATTCCATTGCTACCCAGAATATCTTTGTATATACACACATTTGTAAGCTTTTTAAAAGGTGAACAGGTTTCAAAAGATAATTTCGTCGCAAAGAGAAATGGAGATGTGGTTCACAATATTTGCACTGTTGTATACTTTAACAAATACATACTGTATAACCAAATGAAACCTTCATGAAATAGTAGCTGTACAGTGTACACACTGTTTCAGCCACTGACATCTACTCAAGATAAAACCAAACGTATGTTTAGGAAAAACTCATAATTTGGGTAACCTTGCTAATTTTCTCCTTGAATTTTTAAGCTCTTCTATTCTCAGCAATGGGAAATAAAGGCCAGGAAGCTTTGTCAAGAAAACAAAAATATCTTTCTCTGCTATTCATGTTTTAAAAAAAATCATCCAGAACCTGATGGCAAACCTTTTGCACTATTTTCAGGTGCATGGGCTCACTATTCCAGGCAGTAGTGACATCTAATTACACTAACCCTTGGAAGGCAGAGGGTTCCTGATGGCCATTATTTGGCGAAGTCAGGATTTTGGGAGGGGGGGGGGCTTTTCAGTTTGACCAATGGTCACTGAAATTCCCCCAGGTTACCAAGGCCCATGTCCCATTTGGAAAAATCTGGGTTCAGAAAATCTCTTTGTCCAAAGAAATCCCCGATGTTAATCCTCATTGCACGGAAATGAGAATGCATGAAGAACTGCAATCCAGCAGGGAGGATTTTTTCTACTTTTGAGACAAAATTTTCTCCAGAATTAAAAAAAAAAATTGGAATTTTTCTCTAATTTAGGCCTTGATTCAAAAATCCTTTTTTTTAATTTGCAGACCTCATTGGGACAACATTTTGCACAAATATCCAGACTTTTTCACACAAAGCCGAATAATGTTCGTGGGGGAGAAAAAATTAAAGAAAGCAACACCTGTTGAACATTCCTGAAGGTTCTAAAAAAATGTTTATATACTCTTTAGTAATGTAGAAGGACATTTTAGAAGTAGGTAAAACTTATGAATCTTTTGAAACTTTAAAAGGCAGTCAACTTCCATTTATTTTCAAGATTGAAAAAAATTTCGCGCGAAGACAGACGGTTACTGTAATAGTATTTCGTAAATTTGGAAATTAAAATTACATCGACGAAATATGTGTGTGAAAATTTCTTTAAAAAAACGGGAAAAAATTCTATATACTCTTAGCCGTCCTCTGGAGTAGAGAGGAAAAAAATGAAAACATGCACTGATCAAGAAAAACATTTCCCATGAATGTGTTTACAGCGCATCAATGACGTCCTTGTAGTTTAAAAACGTTTAAAGAATCATTAAAGTTTGTCAATTGATTTCTGGGGGATATTGCGTCGAAATTTTTCTCGCGTCAAGATTGCAACATTAGAAAATCTTTCTAGACTGGCTGGAAATTTGCCGACCTTCTGAGTGCGTTGGTCGGACCTGCTCTGAATGCTTCGTAGAACCTCGAGGTGGTCTTGGGTCTTCGGAACGAACCGAAGCACTTGATGTCCATCATAACGTTTCTTCTCACCAGACACCAGAACTAAACCCAGGACCCCAATCAGCAGCACCCTTGAAAACCTGAAAAAAAAAAACTGGTATCAGAAACTTACTTCAAAATCGTAAAAGTTTGCTGGGCTAGTTTGAGAGACTGAGAGAGCAGCTCTGCCCTACTCTTTTTTTTTCAAGACGACTCACTTCATGATGCTGAAGATAATAATGTCGACCTTGAAAAAGGCACTTCAGCAAATCCTATGAAAAATAATTTACGAATACATGCGTAGTAATTTTTTCCGGATTTTTTTTTTTAGCGTACATGTGTTCTCCAGCAAGATTTTACCTNCGATGCTCTGAGTCGTTATTATTTCCGGGAACTGGGCTGTGATTTCATCGACCCATGCATAAATCTGCGCATAATTGATGCATTTTTTGAATGCGACGAAAGTGATTATAGTTGGGCATTTTTTCAACAAGGTTTCAATGGATTATTTATCTACCTCAGGGGAGTCGTAATACGCATCCCATGTCAATTTCGTACCGGGTGCGCCGACCTTGATGGAATCCGCGAGCCTTCATTTCAATCATGGAAAAAGCAATTGGAGAAGGAGAAGAATATTTGAATGAATGCACTGTTCACGGATGGGAATTCAGGAAGAAATGGGGATTCATTTTCATGACTCACTCCTGGACATCGGCGATCATCACTTGATGTTCGAGACCGAAGAAATCAGCGTGTTTCTGCAGCCAGGCTTTTTGTTCTGGTGAAACCATGATGTCGACAGGCGAGTTCAAGTGGCTGGGTTCAGCCCAAAAGTCCAGCTGCATATATAGAGAAATCCAAAATTTCCATCAAGTGGAAAATATTCCAAGCATATAGTCATATCCTCACATGAATAATATACTGAACTCACTCATAAAAACACTTGATGTTCACTCACTGCTGGGATTTGCATCATATACTGTACTTGAATAAAGTTATTCCATTGCTACCCAGAATACCTTTGTATACACACATTTGTACGCTTTTTTAAAGGTGAACAGGTTTCAAAAGATAATTTCGTCGCAAAGAGAAATGAAGATGTGGTTCACAATATTTGCACTGTTGTAAACTTTAACAAATACATACTGTATAACCAAATGAAACTTTCATGAAATAGTAGCTGTACAGTGTACACGCTGTTTCAGCCACACTGACATCTGCTCAAGATAAAACCAAACGTATGTTTAGGAAAAACTCATAATTTGGGTAACCTTGCTATTTGTCTCCTTGAATTTTCAAGCTCTTCTATTTTCAAAAATGGGAAATAAAGGCCGGGAAGCTTTGTCAAGAAAACAAAAATATCCCTCTCTGCTTTCATGTTTAAAAAAAAATCATCCAGAACCTGATGGCAAACCTTTTGTACTATTTTCAGGTGCATGGGCTCACTATTCCAGCCAGTAGCGACATCTACTTACACTAACCCTTGGAAGGCAGAGGGTTCCTGATGGCCATTATTTGACAAAGTCAGGATTTTGGGAGGGGGGGGGGCTTTTCAGTTTGACCAATGGTCACTGAAATTCCCCCAGGTTACCTAGTCCCATGTCCCATTTTGAAAAATCTGGGTTCAGAAAATCTCTTTGTCTAAAAAAATCCCTGATGTTAATCCTCATTGCTAAAAATGAGAATGCATGAACAACTGCAACCCATAAAGGAAGGATTTTTTATACTTTTGAGACAAAATTTTCTCCAGAATTAGAAAAAAAATTGGAATTTTTCTCTAATTTAGGCCTTGATTCAAAAATCCTTTTTTTTTAATTTGCAGACCTCATTGGGACAAATTTTGCACAAATATCCAGACTTTTTCACACAAAGTCGAATAATGTTCGTGGGGGAGAAAAAAATGAAAGAAAGCAGCACCTGTAGAACATTCCTGAAGGTTCTCAAAAAATGTTTACGTACACTTTAGAAATGTAGAAGGCCATTTTAGAAGTAGGTAAAACTTATGAATCTTTTAAAACCTTAACAGGCAGTCAACTTCCATTTATTTTCATGATTGAAAAAAATTTCGCGCGAAGACAGACGGTTACTGTAATAGTATTTCGTAAGTTTGGAAATTAAAATTACATCGACGAAATATTTGTGTGAAAATTTCTTTGAAAAAACGGGAAAAAATTCTATATACTCTTAGCCATTCTCTGGAGAAGAGAGGAGAAAAATAATGAAAACATGCACTGATCAAAAAAACATTTCCCATGAATGTGTTTACAGCGCATCAATGACGTCCTTGTACTTTAAAAACGTTTAAAGAATCATTGAAGTTTGTCAATTGATTTCTAGGGGATATCTGTCAACATTTTTCTCACGTCAAGATTGCAACATAGAAAATCTTTCTAGACTGCCTGGAAATTTGCCGACCTTCTGAGTGCGTTGGTCGGACCTGCTCTGGATGCTTCGCAGAACCTCGAGGTGGTCTTGGGTCTTCGGAACAAACCGAAGCACTTGATGTCCATCATAACGTTTCTTCTCACCAGAAACCAGAACTAAACCCAGGACCCCAATCAGCAGCACCCTTGAAAACCTGAAAAAAAACTGGTATCAGAAACTTACTTCAAAATCGTAAAAGTTTGCTGGGCTAGTTTGAGGGACTGAGAGAGCAGCTCTGCCCTACTCTTTTTTTTTTCAAGACGACTCACTTCATGATGCTGAAGACAATAATGTCGACCTTGAAAAAGGCACTTCAGCAAATCCTATGAAAAATAATTTACGAATACATGCGTAGTAATTTTTTCCGGATTTTTTTTTTTAGCGTACATGTGTTCTCCAGCAAGATTTTACCTATGCTCAGAAAAGGTTCGAAACGAGAATGCTTGAAACATTTCCAAATTATTCAATTTTCTATGAATTTTCAAAAAGTCACTTCAGCAAATCGTATGAAAAATAATTTAAAAAATGGATGCAATAATTTTCTTCCGGATTTTATTCATAATCATGTTCCAGACACCTCAAATTTTTTCGCAAAAAAATTGTTCCTACCCATCTTCAGAAATGCTTCAAAACGAGAAAGCTTGAAACATGATCAAATGAATCATCAGCTAATATCTAATAATTTTCATTAAGTCACTCATCCAGCGATTCCCATGAAAAATAATTTGCAACAAAAATGTATGTGAAGTAATTTCTCATGACTTTTGTTCATATTTGCGTTCCACACATCACGTATTTTTCGCGCAAAATATTACCTGATTCGGGAAAGCTTAAAAACGAGAATGCTTATATACATTATCAAGTGAATCATCAACTATTTCATAATTTGTGAAGGACGTGAGCTCGATTCCTCGGTAACTCTAATCAATTTTTCACATGGGGTTTTTCAATTCAAAGGCAGATAATTTTCTCGGCTTCTTGCTAATCTTCTCACGGATACTCCGTTTTAGGAATGTATGAATTACTTTGTCAATAAGGCAAAATGTACCCCGGGCACTCGTAAACGATCATCAGACAGAAAACATTGCAATTTTCTCGTCATCGTACCTACAAATCGTGGTGCAATTGAACGAAAACTGACATGAGCTGTGATTTCTCACGCACAGTTGAGGAATTTCCGGTGCTGGAAGTGCTTTGCTAAATTAAGGAATCCTCTTGATGGGATTCCCACATTTCATCAGTGTATTTATATCCACAATGTGTAACTTGAATACAGTATTGCAATATTTTTTTTGCCTGTTTTCCCGTTGAATATGGTGTAATTCATCAAGTAATTTCCTCTTCAGCTGCTGATCATACCTTGGGAATTTTTCTGGAAATCATAAATCCCCAGCCACGTTGTTTCAGAGATTCAAAGGTAAGTTGAAGTCAGGAAATGAAATGTACACAAATTCAGTTGGGCTGCAACTGGGGTGCTTGAAGACACCCTATTCTAAGATGGTACATTTTTTTTTGATTTGCAAAGGGTTGATGATTTTGCAAATTTGCCAAGTTCCTGAGATCTGCTCAGTTCAAAGGTTTGGAAGACAGTGAAGTTTTTGTTTGTACTTCAGAATTAGGAAAAAAGGCTTTGTTCTGTGGGAATTTCCACTGAGATTTTAGTTTTGATTACAGTTTCTGCTTCTTAAGTCGCGGTACACTGTTTCTTATTCTAGAGTTTTGGGGATTTGTGAAATCAAAGGACCAAAGGTCCATTTAAGTTTGTTGTGAGAGTGGGGGTGAATAAACTTGATTCTCACAGATACAACCAAGGACAAGTTTTGGCAATTGCCAAAACTCATCCCTTTTATGGCCCTGTTCTTTTAAGTTGCCTTTTGGTGTTTTCCTTTTTGGATTTATTTCCTCAAGAAGCTGACATAAGAAATGGCTTGCCATTAGTTGGAAACAAGAGATTAAATTTGCTACGCATGACTCTGCTTTAGGGGGAACTCACAAAAATTTGCAACACACGTTGTGCAATGATGTCTCTTGAATTTTCCAAAATCAGACATTTTCTGGATTGACCACCAAACTTGTAGAGTATTGCCTTTTCAGCCCAAAATGAAGGCCAAGAACCCTTGAAAACATTCTGCCCATATAACTCTTGTAATGATTTTGACAGGATCCTGAATCCAGCCACTACAAGGAAAGGGATGGTGGAATAACCTGGAAATTCAAACACTGGATTACGGTCATAAAGCCTATCCTGGAACAAACTGGCAAAAAAATCTTCCCGAACTTCACAACTGGACCAACCTCATGCAGACAAGTCCCAAAATCAGGGGTAATACATAAAGACCAGGTTATTCCTGGCGACATATTATTATTTCCGTTAGTTTAATTTGACCAGATTGTTCCAGTTTTACCAGGTTGGGCCTGACGACGTTATTCCAGCCACTTGAAACGCAATGGCATAGTGGAATAACTTCGTAATTCCACAATTAAAAAAGAATTGTTCCACATCAAGGATCATAGGTTAGACCAGAATTTATCCAGAACAAATGTCTTCCTGGTTTCTTGGCTGATTATTCATTCTTGGTATCTTGGATAATTATTTCCGATTTTGCAATCAAAAAGGCACTAAGAAAATATTTGTTTTTGAAAATAGTTATATGAATATACCCAAGATTATTGGGTGAGGAATGCAGAATCCATCTTCAACCCAGCACTTCACTGTATGGGATTGATCCAAGGAATTTTTTTCTTTTGAAATGCTCTTAAAAATTTTTTCAATAGAAGTTTTAAATTTCATCATTTCAACAACTGCGTATGGCACATATAATGATGGCCTGAGTCATCATGTGAGTATATGACTTGGTGAAGTTTTTTTTTCTCACGATGAAACGGAATATTCAGCATTTGATTCTCCATAAAATTTTCTTTTTAGACGGAAAAATCAGAAGAAAACTTGAGTAAAAATTAGATGCAGTATTTCCATGAAAATATGGCACATTCGTACGTAATGAGACAGATCGAATTGCCAAACACACATGTATATATTGCAGTAATAAATGAATAAATAAGTCGCTGACAACATGGGGTTGCAAAACAGTTTTATCATTCAGGATGCAGCACAATTTGAATGCATTGGAATGCAAGCAAGTCAGTGCCCGGCCAGGATTTCGTCCCTGATTGCATTGAATATGGCCAGGAACCCATCCAGGGTTTCTTCCCCACTGGCAATGATCTGACTTGCAGGCAGCAAGAACCCATACTGGCCCTGGTCCCTCAGTTCGATACCCATGGAATATTTCACACCTGCCTTCTCCTTGACCCAGTCAAAAGAACCTCCTGAGGCCAAATCTGGTAGCCAAAAAAGGGAAGATTTAAAAAAATCCAAGATATTGACAGGGAGAATTGGGTTTTGAAAATCCGCTGTGTTCGGCTTTCGCTTGAACACTTATTGTGGATTCCATTATTGAAATTAGTTGAAAAACCACTCACACAAAAGATCAGGAACAGTTCCGGTGACGTAATCTGTGCCATGGCGTTCACGAAGGGCATTCTCCAGGATCAGACCTTTTTCAAGCTGTCAGAAAAATAAAAAATTAACAATTATATTCGCAAACTGTAAAAATTACAATCAGTGAATTATCCGTGAATTCTCAAAAGTTCCCGGAGTCACCAAAATATACAGAACTTGAGACTCTATTTACGCCTCTTTTTTTTTTCTTACTGTGGACCTCAAACAATATGAGAGAGAATTAGAAAAACTTTCAAAAAATTAACATGCTTCCATTCGTCTAAAAAGGATTTTTTCCAGCTGGAAGTCTTCAAAGATAATCTGTATTACTTGAATTTTCGTCGGTACTTTTTAAACGTCTGTTTCAAATTTTCAGCAGAAGTTTCAAATTCTTTAGCACCCTTAAATAAAGATTTACTAATTTGAACTTCGAAGGTCAAAGCCATAATATCTTTCAGTTCAACAATATAAGACTTTGTCGTAATTCACTGCAGCTCTTCTTGATTTTTGAGCATGAGGAACTATATATGCAGGAAGCCCCAAATGGAATAATAATTGTGCACTTTTGTGCAGCATTTTAACGTCGGAACATCTTTTTAAGCAAATTAATTTGTTCATTTTGGGTTGTTCTGGACCAATTGAAGAATTTTTTGCTCGTAGGATTTGCTAATAATTTACCTCAAATGAATGCTCATGTCTCATGAAGCCACAATTTAAAATTTCAGGTGATTTGTGGGATCTTAGAAAATGCCCTGATTTAATAGCTTATTCAAAATAAAAACCTGGAAAAACACTGCATTTATTTGCAGAATTGTTTGCCACAAGTAAAATAAGAAAGAAAGACCTAGCTTGATCAGAAGAGTAAAATTTGGGGAAAATCCCTTTTTTTTACATTCTCCTGCAAAAATATTTCCATAGAAAAAAATATTTACTGCTGGGTAGCATTTTTTGGCTTCCCTGCCATAGGATTATCATTAAGGGATTTAGAAAACAATGAATTTTGCTTTCCCAGATTTTTCTAGACTTTGACTATACAGTACTGTACTCTGCCAAAACTGCATTTTTGTGACCTTTGTTCAAACCAAAATGCACAAGCATGCAAAAATCTCCCAGCACTGCCCAACAATCGAAAGTGACCTTCCACCATCCAATAAGGGTTAAAAAACCCTTTTTTCTCACCAAGTCTGCATAATCATCAGGTTTCAGATTGGTGTCTCCATAGGGCAACAGAACCAACTGAGAATAGGAATGAACATCAAAGTAGATCTTGATGGCATCCTTGTTGGCCAAAATGTAATCCCTGACTGCTTGAGTCTCAGGCTCAGAAAATGCACTGGGTCCGTGGTAAGTCTCTGAACACTTGTCACTACTGGCCCCAGGTCCTATATTTTAGAATATATTGATAAACAGAAGTACTGCATATTTCCAAAAAAAAGTTTACAAATGTGAAAAGAAAGTTCAAGTGAGAGGTCTTTGAGAACAAATCATGGTGGGTGAATGAAAACGGGGCTTGGTCAAGTAAATTCATGTCTATAACCGTGATGCCTGGAAAAGGTTAATTTATATTGAGGACAGAGTCTCCAATATAATTTGGTGTCAAGTGTTGGATAAATAAAACAAGTTGATCAGTCTGGGACAGGGCCGTGATTCCTATTAGGAATTCCTAGTTTTAATGATTAAGATATATTTCAGGAATAAACGAATAACAATGCAAATAACAACTCAATGAGCTTGGGCTTGGATAACGCACAGCTGAACACAACTGATCTAAAAAGAGAATATGAAAATGCTACTTATATAGTCTTTGCAATCAGAAACCTTCATAAGGTTTTACCACTCTAATGGCGACAGGAAAAAGTAGTAATCAAAGATGCTACACACAGGAAAAGGTAGTCATTGAAGATGCAACGGTGCCAGGTACGTCCTGACTCCTGACACCGTAACCGGTACCAGGTTGTGCCTGGTACTGCAATTTTGAGGAGGGGAGGATAATTCTGAGAACTTTAGGTATTATAGTGTACGTTAGCGTGCATGCCCAATAACATCCACCAAGGATTTTGCAACTTTTTTTTTATACAAGAGATTCACTTTTTCTGAGCAACACTTGAATTTTGGAATGCTTTCAGTGACCTAACACGCATTTATTGAGAGTCACTGTAGATAGAAAATTTAACAGTTTTAAATCGCGGCAATATGATTCAAAAATTTGTCTTTTGTTCTTTTCACAAAACATTAAATCAAAGTCCGGATAAGTTGTTGTAATTACCTCCAAATGACTTGTCAAAGTTCCTGTTGGCATCCACTCCCAAGCATCCCCAGAAGGAATCATGGTCTGAAAGCGTTTTGCGCCACAAACGGTCCTATTTAAAAACAAATTATGATGAAAAAGTTAAATTTGAAGAGTCTTCAAAGGTCGGAAAATGTTTTTCACTAATTCAAAATCCAAGCTTCTGAATGATAGGCCAAATATATTTGTCCTAGTGATTTTCAGACTCATAAAAAAGACAGACGTCCGCAAGTCCCTGCTTTCTATATTCCGCACCTAGATGTCGCATCAATTTCCAAACATACTAATTCTGAATGAAAGCTTGATTTTTCAAGGAAAATTAAAGGCATGATATCAAATTGAAAATGCATCAATTTAACTCACTCCATTATGGGTGTAAGCCAGACCATCAGGGTTCAGGACTGGGACATAGTGGAAGTCAAACTTGTCCAACTCAGCAGCATAGGCTTCATTTGTGAGCAGTTCATTGAAAATCCATGTGGTAGTTGCTGAAGTGATCCATTCCCTGGCGTGGATATCTTTCATGGAATCACGAAAAAAAATAACATCATCTATCTTGTTGGAAAATCATTAACCCAGCAAAATATACCGGCTCAAATACAATACGAAGGGAGTATAAAAAGCATCACTGAGCATCAAGATGTGGTCAAGGTCAATTCCAGAGAAAAATAAGCCCATCTGGGAGGAATTTATTTTATCAAAACCCATTATTTGAAAATTCTTATACAAAGCGAGAAATCGAAATGTGTAGGAAAGTAACTTGGAAAGATGAGGTTCGGGAACTATTGAAACAACACTTCAATCAAGTTTTTACATTCAAGTTGCCTGCTGATGATTATCAACAACTTGACGACCGAAAATTGAAGGACAGTTCCTTTTTCCTATGCACAATAACAGGATTATTGAATCGCCAGAATGAAGGTGGATTTAAATATCTTCCGACACTGTACTTTCGTTTATGCATAGAAGCGCAATAAAAACGGGACCTTCACTTTCCTGCGAAAGTTTTATTTTATTTTATTTTTTAATCCGCATTTCTGTGTCGTGAAAAAGAAGCCGGTTTATCGCTTCGGTAATCAAAGGATTTACATATCGAGGTTGCGTTTAATCGGGTTTCTTTATCAGCTGTTCATATACCGCGATAAAACTGTTTTAAATGAGGCTGAATGAATCTGAAATCGAATGAAAACTCACTGGAGTTGAGGAAAACGGTGACTTTTTGTTGATCGGATGGTTTGTTGATTCGCATGAGCATCAGTTCCCTGCCTTTTAAAACTGTTTTAAATGAGGCTGAATGAATCTGAAATCGAATGAAAACTCACTGGAGTTGAGGAAAACGGTGACTTTTTGTTGATCGGATGGCTTGTTGATTCGCATGAGCATCAGTTCCCTGCCTTCCGTCGACTTTCCGATGCTCTGAGTCGTTATTATTTCCGGGAACTGGGCTGTGATTTCATCGACCCATGCATAAATCTGCGCATAATTGATGCATTTTTTGAATGCGACGAAAGTGATTATAGTTGGGCATTTTTTCAACAAGGTTTCAATGGATTATTTATCTACCTCAGGGGAGTCGTAATACGCATCCCATGTCAATTTCGTACCGGGTGCGCCGACCTTGATGGAATCCGCGAGCCTTCATTTCAATCATGGAAAAAGCAATTGGAGAAGGAGAAGAATATTTGAATGAATGCACTGTTCACGGATGGGAATTCAGGAAGAAATGGGGATTCATTTTCATGACTCACTCCTGGACATCGGCGATCATCACTTGATGTTCGAGACCGAAGAAATCAGCGTGTTTCTGCAGCCAGGCTTTTTGTTCTGGTGAAACCATGATGTCGACAGGCGAGTTCAAGTGGCTGGGTTCAGCCCAAAAGTCCAGCACGTATATATCTCTTTAGGTTTTAAAGGTAGTTCACCTTTTATAAGGTTCGTATATCAGTATAGGAGTGTACTTATTATATGACTTGAGTGAGTATTTTTGTGAACTACAAGTGAGTGACGACCCTACGGCATCATATGCTTCAATGAAGTTATTCCATTGCTACCCAGAATACCTATCTAAATCCGCATTTGTAAGCATTTTTAAGGTAAAACAAGTTTGAATAAATTATTTTATTGCAAAGAGAAATGATGATTTGGTTCACAGTATTTGCACTGTTGTGAACTTCAACAAATATATACTATATATTTGTATAACCAAATGAAACCTTCAGGAAGTAGCAACTGTAAACACCGTTTCAGCCCCTGACATCTATTCAAGATACAGTTGAACTGCTGTAAGTCTAATTTCTAAGGAACAGGAAAAAAATTGACTTAGGGAGGTTTCAACTTATGGAGGTTTTGATTTTTGAAGGTTTCCAGTTGAGGAAACAAACACTTCTGTTGTGAGGAGAAATGAAAAAGTGTCATAAATCATAAATGGGGATATTCTTGGCCTAAACTTGCTCCTTATTGAGTTTGCACCATGCTGATTTGGAGGCAGGGGTTCATTTGCTATATCTGTCTTTCACTTACTTTCAAGATGCATCTAATTATTTGTTTTAATCATTTTTCTCTCACATACTTAAAGGAAATAATAACCAGAAGGCCCCAGAAAATTCGACTTACAGAGGTTTTAGAGAAAAAGACTTTGGGTTAGGGAGGCTTTTAATGTATTGATTCTTAGGCAATTCAGACAGGGACTTAAAAATTCAAATTAGGGAGGAATTAGACTTAGGGAGTTTTGACTTATCAAGGTTCACCTGTAAAACCAAAAAATATCTTCAAGAAAAAACTCATAAAATGGATGACCTTGCTAATGTTCTCCTCAAGTTTTTAAACTCTTCTTTTTAAAAAAATTGGAAATAGGGGCTGGAAAGCTTTGTCAAGAAAAAAAACATCTTTCTCTGCTATTCATGTTTTTAAAAAATAATCCAGAACCTGATGGTAATCATTCTCCACGATTTTCAGGTTCATGGGCTCACTATTCCAGGCAGTATAGTGACATCTACCATATTTACTCAAGTACCACGCGCACCTTTTTTCTCAAATTTCAGACAAAAAAAGGGGTGCAAAGCATAAGTGGGTACAAATTTTCCAAGAAGTTTTAGGAAGTTATGTGTGCATTTTACTTGATTATAATGGAGAAATTTTGAACAAATGTCACTAGAACACTTTTTTGCACTGGAACAGTTGAAAATTGATCTGATTTTTGTTCAATTCATGTCTAAAGTCAATTTTTGTTTTTATTTTTGAAATTTTGTGGTTTCAGATTCACTAAAATTGGGGTGTGTGTCATACTTGGGGATAAGATTTTAGCAAAATTGCAACTGAAAACCCCCTGTGCGTGCCTTACTCAAGGGTGCAAGGTACTCCAGTAAATACAGTACTTACATTAACCCTTAGATGGCAGAGGGTTCCTGGCCATTATCTTTGGCAATAAAGTCAGGATTGGTTGCCAAGGCCCATGCTGGGAAAAATCTGGGTACAGAAATTTCATTGTCTCAAGAAATCCCCAGCAATGGTAATCCTTTGCTGGGAATGCATGAAAAAATGCCACCCAGGGAGGATTTGTTTTTAATTTTTGAGACAAAATTTTCTCCACAATAAAAAAAGATGGGACTTTTTTCTAGCTTAGGCCTTGATTCAAAATCATGATTGCTTTCAATTTGCAGGCCTCATTGGGACAACATTTTTCATAAATATCCGGACTTTGCCACACAAAGACAAATAATGTTTGTGGGGAACAAAAAATGAAAGAAAATATTCCGGAAGGTTCTCATAAAATGTTTATATATACTCTTTAAAAATGTAGAAGGCCATTTTAGAAGTAGGTAAAACTTATGATTCTTTTAAAACCTGCATGAAAAGGCAATCAACTTCCATTTATTTTTAGGATCGAAAATGATTTCGCGCGAAGACAGACGATTAAAGTATTTCGTAACTTTGGCAAATAAAAGTAGAAATCGATGATATTTTTGTGTGAAAATTTGTTCATAAAAAAAGGAAAAATAAATAATTTCTGTATACTCTTATAGCAGTCCTTTCGAAAAGAAAGGAGAACCATAAAAATTGAGGACATGCACCGATCAAGAAAAACAGTTCCCATGAATAAGTTTTATAAAGCGCATCAATGGCGTCCTTGAAGTTTCAAAAACGTTGTCAATCGATTTCTAGGGGATATCGTGTCGAAATTTTTCTTCGCGTCAAGATTGCAACATAATAAATCTTTCTAGACTGCCTGGAAATTTGCCGACCTTCTGAGTGCGTTGGTCGGACCTGCTCTGGATGCTTCGCAGAACCTCGAGGTGGTCTTGGGTCTTCGGAACGAACCGAAGCACTTGATGTCCATCATAACGTTTCTTCTCACCAGAAACCAGAACTAAACCCAGGACCCCAATCAGCAGCACCCTTGAAAACCTGAAAAAAAAAACTGGTATCAGAAACTTACTTCAAAATCGTAAAAGTTTGCTGGGCTAGTTTGAGAGACTGAGAGAGCAGCTCTGCCCTACTTTTTTTTTCTTTTTTCAAGAGGACTCACTTCATGATGCTGAAGACAATGATGTCGACCTTGAAAAAGGCACTTCAGCAAATCCTATGAAAAATGATTTATAAATACATTCGTAGCAATTTTTTCGAAATTTTTTCAGCGCACATTTTTTCCAAGCGAAATATTACCCAATTCAGAAAAGCTTCGAAACGAGAATGCCAAATTGATCAATTATCTATCAATTTTCAAAACTTCACTTCAGCAAATTGTATGTAAAATAAATGATGCAGTAATTGTCTTCCGGATTTTATTCATAATCATGTTCCAGGCACCTCCAATGTTTTGCGAAACATATTTCCTAATTAACATCAGAAAAGCTTTGAAACGAGAAAGCGTGAAACATCATCAAATGAATCATCAGCTAATATCTAATAATAGAATGCTTATACATTATCAAGTGAATCATCAACTATTTAATAATTTGCGAAGGACGTGAGCTTGATTCCTCGGAAACTCTAATCAATTTTTCACATGGGGTTTTTCAATTCGAAAGCAGATAATTTCCTCGGCTTCCTGCAAATTTTCTCACGGGTATTCCGTTTCAGGAATGTGTGAATTACTTTTGTCAAGGAAACATGCACCCTGGGTAGTGTACACGATCATCAGACAGAAAAAATTGCAATTTTCTCGTCATTATACCGACAAATCGTTGTGCAATTCAACGAAAACTGACATGAGCTGTGATTTCTCACGCACAGTTTAAGAATTTCCGGTGCTGGGAATACTATACTTGCAAAATTAGGGAAACCTCTTGAAGGGATTTCCACATTTCATCAGTGTATTTATATCCACAGCAATGTGTAAATTGAATACAGTACTGTACTGCAATGTTTTTTTGTGTGCATCTTTTCATGTATGAGAATTTGTTTTTGAAGAGAAGAGATTTTGAAGAAAACGTCTGAAATTCGAAACTGCAAGGCAAATAAATTCCAGAAAAAATCCGAAAGAAAAGTTTGCCATTTGAAATGTCAGTCCCAGTGTAGAATAAAACAGATTTTTTTCGTTTTATAAAGAACTTCGTATCTGAAAGAAACGACTCGCTCATATTTGGTAAGATGACTTGAAATTAACTTGGAGCGAAACACCTAAAGCTCTAACACTTTACTACTGCAAGCTTCTTTAGTAAGCAAAAAGAAACCGGATGGGATTTCGCAATTTGTTTCTGCTTCTTGTGTTACAATTTCCAATGCAATTGGCTCAAGACAAGAATTGGCGCACCAGAATGTACCATGAAGTCATGCTTTTTCCTGAACCAACTCTCTTTCTTTTGGCAATTCCTCTTGAATGATTGACAGTTTGAAATAAACTTGAAGATTTTCATTTTTTTAAAGGCAAAACCTTTTTCGATCTGAAATTGCGAATCAAAGATAATTGGGGCAGCTTTCAAACCTGTTCATATGGTCTTTCTTTCAAAAAACTTGTCTCAATATGTGGAAGGAAGTTTCAACATAATTCTGTGCAAAAATTTCCCGGTTCTTTTTGTAGATGTTTGTCTTGGTCATCGAATTTGAGTAGATCCTCTATAATTGAAACCTCCCCAAGTCAAATAATTTCCAAGTTCCTTTCTGAATTCCTTTGAATTTAAATGCATCATAATCTTTCCCAACTTGAAGGCGTTTCCCTGTCCAACTGTCATAATTTAAATGTTCTCAAAGCCATTTGTCTATTGCAGTGTTTTATTGACACAAGAGAAAAGGAATAATTTACAGAGAACTACACGTAACGTCCCTTCACTTTCTAGTGATAAGTCCGAAAAAGACATGTCATAAGATGGTGTAGAATTAAAAAGACCTTTAGTGTTTTTAGGGTCGGTTCAACACACTCCGTTTGTAAAAACTAATTTGGGGAAATGGGGTCTCTTGAATTTACCAAAATCAGAATTTTTCTGGATTGACCTCCAAACATGGAGCATATTGCCTTTTGAGCCCAAAATGAAGGCCAAGAACACTTCAAAAAATTCTGCTCAATCAAATCTTGGAAGGATTTTGACAAGATCCTGAATCCAGTCACTACAAGGAAACATTCAAAAAAATTTGTTCCGCATCAAGCTTATCTCCTCCTCCAGCTATAATTTTTTTCATGCATTTTAAAATATTCTTTGGTCGTGCTGCTTATTATTCTCATGGCTTTAATCCCTTGTATGAAAAATTCCTTTTCAAGGAGCAGAGCAAGTGTCTCCAATAAAGTTAGTAAACCTTTTTTCACACCAAAGACGGAAGGAGTTGTTCCCAAGATGCCAGAACCCTTTCAGGATAGGAAAAAAAAGCTCACACTTGGGGATAAAGTACATTCTTCCAACAAAAATGTTTTTGAAGAGTGATGAATAAAAAATAAACATTGGAGAAAAGGGGTTTGAACCTTTAGGTGAGTGACCTTAAGAAAAAAAAATTAAGTATACATTGAGACGTTTTTTAAACCTAAAACAACGGACATACTACCGACTAACTAGTTTACTCGAAAACGTAGTTGATTCCGCATCCTGTCAACTCCTTACTCTTCGTAAAGTTCCCGGTCTTATAGTGACTTAATGTTAATAAACAATAAGAAAAATTTAAGTAGGGGTGTTTTTCCTTACAAAAGAAGTGGGTTTTAGAGGGACTGAACTAAAAAAGAGTGTCACCCTTGAAATTTGACTGAAAGAGGTTTTCCTGTAATACCGTTGAATCAGAGTTTATTGAAAAAAATTTGAATGATTTTTTCTTCTAAAAAATACCATAGAACCTTGATAACTTTAACCTCTTCAAGTTGAATACCTCCCTAAGTCATTTTTTTTTGAATCCCTGTCTGCATTTCCTTAGAATCAGTTCATTAGAAACCTCTCCAGCTCAAAGGTGTTCCATCTCAAACCTCCGTAATGTAAATTTTTGAAGCTTTTTGCTATTATTTTCTTGACACAGGAAAGAGAAAAACAATAATAAGAAAATTTGTTTTCTGGTAGGAATTGAAAATGATAATTGAGCAACTGACCCTGCCTCCAAGTTCAGCCTCTTGTCAACTCATTTAGGAAGCAATTCAAGTCTTATAGAGTTTCAACATTTACAATTTCCTGCAATTCTTCCATTTCCCACAATGAAAATGCTTGTTCTCCCATATAGCTGGAAACTTTCCCCACTCAAAATATCCTGAATTAAATTTTTTTTTCCTGCGCTCTTGAAATTTAAATTCAAGAGGTTTGACTGTAGTTCACTTCTTTCAGGAGATATAGCTTTCTAAAAAGGAATTACGATCCACCCTGTATCTGTACGAGTATAAACTCAAAGTAAAGCTGAATAAAAAATATCCGTGGAATTTCAGAAACACCATGTTTATTTTCCATCGCCAGGTTTCTTCGTCCAAAATCCAAGTATATAACGAGTGCTGAAAAAATGTCCTCCAGACAAAACAAGCAAACACAATCACAACAAGAAG